TAATTGTGCTCATGAGGAATCTGTACAAGGGCATACTGCATGGTTTAAAATCAGGAAAGTTGTGCGTCAAGATTGTATCCTTTCACCATACATACTCAATCTCTATTCTGAGCTAATAATCCAAGAAGCTGGCTAGATGGAGAGGAACGTGGCATCAGGATTGGAGGACGATTCATAAGCAACTTGAGATATGCAGATGACACAGCCTTGCTTGCTGAAAGTGAAGATGACTTGAAGCACTTATTGATGGAAACCAAAGACTACAGTCTTCAGTAGGGATTACACCTCAATGTAAAGAAAATGAAAATCCTCACAACTGGACCAGTAAGCAGCCTCGTGATGAATGGAGAAAAGGTTGAAGCTGTCAAAGATTTCATATCACTGGGATACGCCATCACCACCCGTGGAAGCAGCAGTCAGGAAATGAGACATCGCGTTGCACTGGGCAAATCTGCTGCAAAAGACCTCTTTCAAGTGCTGAAGAACAAAGATGTCACTTTGAAGACAAAGGTGCCCCTAATCCAAGCCATGATACTTTCATTTGTTTCAGGTGCATGTGAAAGGTGGGCAATGAATAAAGAAAACCGAAGCAGAGTTGATGCTTTTGAGCTGTGGTGTTGGCGAAGAATGCTGAAAGTACCATGGACTGGCAGAGGAACAAACAAATCTGTCTTGAAGAAGTGCAGCTGGAATGTTCCTTGGAAGCCAGAATGGCTAGATTTCATCTTAACTACTTTGGTCGTGTCGTCAGAAAGAGACCATTCCCTGGAGGGTGCTGTGCTTGGAAAAGTGGAGGGTCAGTGAAAAAAGGGAAGACCCCCACAGAATGGAATGACACGGTGGCTGCAGCGATGGGCTCAAGGATAACAAGAATGTGAAGGCGGGGCACGACCAGGCAGTGTTGCACGTAGGGTTGCTATGAGTTGGAGCCAACTCAGCAACACCTAACAGTAGCGGCAGCCACCAGCAGGGGGCAGCACGGGTGGGAGCTCTGGTGGCACAGTGCCTAAGGCATTGGACTGCTAACCAGAAGGCTGGCGGTTCAAACCCCCCAGCCACTCCTCGGAAGGAAGGTTAGACAATCTACTTCCATAGAGATACTGCCTCGGAAACCCAAGGAGGGGTCTCTGTGAGTTACAGTTGGCTCCACAACAGCGAGTGGTGGTTCTCTGGGATAATGCAGGCCTCCTGTTCGGCCCAGAAGAACCATTTGAGGAAACCCAGCAGCCCTTCATGATAAAGGTGCTCATGGGAATGAGAGGAGGCTTCCTCAGCCTAATAGAGGCCGTTGATGGAAACCCACCACTGACCCCCAACTCGGTGGGAAAAACTGAGGTTTCCCTTTGACGTTTTCAGGACGCAGTGAGGACTTCTCTCAACACAGGCCTTTCTTCCCATGTGCCTCTTTTGTTATGTGCTGTCGAGTCGGACCTGACTCATAGTGACCCCTCCTTGGGTTTCCTAGGCAGTATCACTACGGAAGTAGATTGCCCCATCTTCCTTCTGATATGTGCCTCTGGGGGGACTCAAACCACCAACCTTCTGATTGGCAGCCAAGAGCCTTTACCATTTGCACCACCCAGGAACTCCAGCAGAAAATTGTTTCTGTTGGATACCATCAAGTCCATTTCAGCTGATAGCGACCCCATGTGACAGTAATACTGTCCCATAGGGTTTCTTAGGCTGTTATCTTTTATGGAAGGAGATCACCAGGTCTTACTCTCATAGAGCACTGGGTGGGTTCGAACCACAAACTTTTTGGTTAGCAGCCGAGCACTTGACCATCTGCACCCCCAAGGCTCCTTAGCAGAAAATTAAGCACCTGGAAGCGTTTCATTCATTGTTGGCTGGAACCCAGGCCACCCGTCTGCCCGTCTGTCCTCATTTCATGCTACTTCTGCTCCACGGGTCCTTGGCTCCTGCACTCACTCATGCTGCGTCCTCGGCCTGCCAAGCTTGCCTCCCTTCCCTCCTCCAGGACGCTGTCCCCAACTCAGCAGTCACAACGACTTGAGTTTCACATCACTTTGTACCTGGTAGCCTCCTTCTGTGCGTGCTTGACTGTCCCCCCTCTTGTAAACTCCAGAGGACAAGGCGTTCTCCTCACCCTCTCTGCCCAGCCCAGACCCTCCTTCCATTGGCTCATGGGGCTGCAATCGTGTTTTTCAGATGCATCCCCAAACCACAAGTCTGCCTGACAACCTATGATAAATTTGGATGTAGCCAGTATGAGTGTGTGCCAAGGCAGCTCACCTGTGACCAGGCCCACGATCCTGTTTGTGACACGGACCACACGGACCACAGCAACCTCTGCACTTTATACCAGAGAGGGAAAGCACTCTCATACCGAGGCCTGTGCCAGGTACAGTTGCTCGGCTGAGGGCCCGACACGCACTCGGCGTGACATTGTGAGGGTCTTTTACAGACAGATCAGCACTGACCCCACTTGACAGTCTTCAGTGCGTCTTCTTAAGTCCAGAGAGCTCAACCCTCCACTAAAACGGGCCGTCCTCAAGGCTGCCTCTCTCTCCTGTCTCTGGCGGGCTGTCTTGCTCCATACCATGTATGAGCAAGAGGAGAGGGTGCCTCCCTGCAGCCCACTCCCAGGAAGAGAATTGGAGTCTCCCACCCCTGGCTGCATCAGCACCGTCTTCCCTTCCCCTGGTCCTGGGGTTCTCACTAGCAAACAAGTAAGCAAACCTGGCAGTGAGAACAACCACTCTTCCTACCATGGGCCCACCTTCTGCAGCACTGACAGTTGATTGAAAATTTCTCCAAAACTTAATGTCTTCTTTAAAAACAAACCAAATGCACTGCCGAGTCAGATCCGACTCATAGCGACCCCTCCTTGGGTTTCCGAG